CTCGGTAAGTTTTATAAGCAGGGTAGGGGTTGGAGATAGCTTGGACTGGTGGTCACTGCTTGAGCATTTTCCAAAGTTTTCCATTAATCCCCTTCTTTTCTGCCCTACATTTTGCCTCCATTCTACACGAGGACATGCTTTCCTAAATCTTGCTCCTTTCCTATTTACTTTTTCTAGGGAATTAAACTTCTGGTCTCCCACCTGAGCATGGAGTGGAAATGGGCATATAAGGTAGGCATCTTGATTATAGAGGAGTCAACTGTTCTCTATATACAGATTTTCAACTTAGGTTTTTCCATACAGCACCTCATTTTCCAGAGTTATTCAGGTAACGTGGCTCTCACATGTTTTTCTTCGCAAAACTTACCTATCTACCCCAACTTCTAAAAATTAGTACATTGCTTTGTCCCCCAATAACATGCCTGCCATTCTTTGTCCATGTGTTTTATACCTTTTTATAATTTTACTACTCCTATAATGAGGAAAGGCTGTATGTGTTAAGTCATCTACCTTTTAAAGGGAATCTCATGTTGTAAAAAATTCTAGGCTGGGCACAGTGGCTCACACTTGTAATCACCGCACTTTGGGAGGCTGAGGCGGGTGGATCACCTGAGGTCGGGAGTTCAAGACCAGCCTGGCCAACGTGGTGAAACCCCATCTCCACTTAGAATACAAAAAATAGCCAGGTGTGGTGGCGCACACCTGTAACCCCAGCTACTTGAGAGGCTGAGGCATGAGAATCGCTTGAATTCAGGAGACAGAGGTTGCAGTGAGCTGAGATGGTACCACTGCACTCCAGCCTGGGCGACAGAGTGAGATTCCGTTTCAAAAAAAAAATTCTGTAGCTTCATAATGCTCTAAAATCTGATAAGACCTGTCTTTCAATACACTTTACGAAGATATCCTTTGGTACTTTTACCAGATGTAGTTACATTTTAATTTTTCAGATATAGTCAGATTCATTTTATTAAATTCTTCCAGATGTAGCTAAATGCCTGCCCTCCACTACCTGACTCCCAAATTTATCAATGCATACATACACACACACTCTCTTTTTAGAAGAGATTATAAATAAATGTGTTTAAGGAGTGCTGGTCAGGATGAAAAACTGAAAAAGGGAATTCACAGGCATTCTTCTGTTCTTTGCCTAAATCATAGCCTTACCCAAAGGACATATGCATAACAGTCCCCTTCAAAGGCTTACTAGCTTTCCTTAAACTGGATAGTGTTAAAGAGTCCATCACATCCTCCTTAATTAAAGCATTTTGTAAATTAATGATCCCCCCCCCAATCTGATTTCATGCAATTTGGGCAACATTTTCATATATAATTTTACCTCTAATGTCATTTGTTCCAGAATGGCTGGCCATTACATTTCCCATTATATATGAATATACTGACGTTCTAATCTACATAAGCATGGTTAGGGTAAAACCATCCCCAAGAGGTTGATCTCTCAGTTTACAGAGTAACTTAAGCCTCCAGGTCTATACAATTAAAGCCAAAACCATAAGAATGTTATGAATTTACCAATATAGATGGCACTTCATCATGTCTTCAGGACATCTGAGTATGTTCCCTTTTTCAAATTTTGAAACAATACATTCACACATAGATGTAACAGTCATTAATATCTACTGTTTGCCAGGCTTTGTACCAGGTGACTAGGAAGCATTAGATCTTTGCCCTTATGGAGCTTAGAGACTAGCAGTGAAAACAAAAGCATATGAGTGCTAACACCAAACTGAAATATATGCTACAGCAGAGTCTCTTAGAACATAAGAAATACAGAATACTTAACCCAACCCAAAAGGATCACCTGAGCTAAGTGTTTAAGAACACACAGGGACTAGCCAAGGGAAAACAGAAGAGAAAGAAAGAGCTAAGTCAAAGGACTGGCACTTAAGGTCAGAGAAGGGGTGATAAAAAAACAAAAAATAAGAAGAAGCTGAGACACGAGACAGAAGAAATATCATGAGGGCATCGTACATAATCCTGAAGAGTTCAGGTTTTCCAGAAAGCTAGAGTTTCATGCAGGGAGTCTTACAGGAACAGATTTGCATGTTAGGAAGGTAACTGGTGATTATGTGGAGAAATGACAAAGGCTGAAGACAACTTGAAGGCAGGGGCATCCTTAAGGAAACGACTACAGTAATCCTAATGCTAATCCAGGCAAGAAACCGAGAAATTAGAGCAATGATTCTCACCTGGGGACGCCTTTGCCAACACCCTCCAGCCCCAGAGGGCCACATTTTTCAATATCTAAAGACATTTTGGTTGTCAAAACTGGGAGGTACTACTGGGGTCTTAGAGGCCAGGAAGGCTGTTAACCATCCTACAATATACAAGCCAGACCCCCACTTCCCTCATCACTCCCACTGAAGAATGAGCCAGCCCAAATGTCAATATCACAATCGAGAAACCCTGGAATAGAAGGATATTCAAGAGCGATTAAGTAGCTTTAGGAGATACAACTTTTAGACTGACTAGAGACAAACAGTGAGGAAAAAGAGGGGTCCTATTGACTGTTTTGTGTCCCCCTGCCTCCAAATTCATATGTTGAAGCCCTAATCCCTAGTGTGGCTGTATTTGAAGGTAGGACTTCTAAGGAAGTAATTAAGGTAAATGAGGTTGTAAGGGTGGGGTCCTCATTCAATAGGATTTGTGTCCTTATAAGAGACACCAAAGAGCTCACTCATTCACTCCTTCTCCCTCTATGCACAACCAAAGAAAGGCTATGTGAATACACAGCAAGAGGGTAACCCCTGCAAATCAAAGGAAGAGCCCTCACTAGACACTAACCTGGTGAGCACTTGGAATTCCAGTCATCAGAACTGTGGGAAAATAAACTTGTTATTCAAGCCACCCAATCTGTGGAATTGTTATGGTAGCCTGAGTGACCTAATAAAAGGCGTAACAAAAGGCTCCCAGTATTTTTGTTTGGGGGAATCTGAGTAGATGAAGAATAGAAAAGATATTGGGAGGCATGGAATCGTTTTCTGTTTTGTTTTGTTTTGTTTTGTTTTGAGATGGGGTCTTGGGGCATGTTGCCCAGGCTGATCTTGAGACAAAGATTTTGAAGTATCTGTGGTACATCCAAGTTGGACATACTGGCTTGGAGCACAAGAGAGATGTTTGGACCAGAGATACAGATTGGGAATCAAAAGAGCAGGAAAAGCCATGACATTAGGTAGGAGGAATATGGAGTCAAAAATTGAGTACATAGCATAAAAAATGAAAAACACAGATTAGATGCCCAGAACATAGCATTTAAAAGAAAACTGATTCTGAGACTTTTTACATTCTTTAACTTATACATGCAAAAGATGTGTAAGTTAATACTTTGTAAATTATTAACCTTCCAAATAACTATTTTTAAGGACTGTGTTTCTCCATTATTACAATTTTCAAAATTGTTTTGAAACTCCATAGTGGAATTAGCTCTTCTAACTGACTTCCTGTTAACCAACGTGCTCCATTACTTCTGATGCCCATGACAGATCGTAAGTCACACTATAGTACATCTACTCTTATCAAACAGTATACTTATCAGGAGCCAACTGTATGTGCTTCAGGTAGTTACAATTATTGTATCATATAACTTAGTAAAATATTCATAAACCAATAAAACAAATGTTAAAACAAAAAAGCTGTTTCTATGAAAGTCGCATGCTCTGGAAATACATGAAACCTTATCATAACTCAGTAATGGGGGTCAAAAAATTTAATTATGTAAAAACAGGGTCATCTTAATGCTAACTTACAAATTAACCCAGGGTAATCAAGAAATTGGCTCTGGGCTTCGAGCCTGTCTTTGCCACATGTAAGCTACAGGACTGTTCTGCTAGTTATTTAAACCAAGACTCAGTTTCTTCAACTATAACATAGTGCCATTTCAATACAGGGCTGCTTTGAGACTCCATAAGGGACCAACACAGTACCTAACCCACAGTAAGCAAATACCCAGTAGGTAATATCTTTCCATTTTTCTTTGGGAAAAATTTCCCAAGGTAACTACTTTTAAAGAAGACTTAAGGTTTGGGATATTTATTTTATTATGATTGCACCGTACAGCTGCTTTCATCTGGTCCTAAGGAATTCCTAAGAGAAGTTTGCAAAAGACTTATTACGACCTCCAGGGCTTAGTCCCAAATGGCAAAATTTCTGGTAAATTAAAATCATTAAAAAGAGAGTACGTAACAGAAATCAGTCACAAAACTAGACCCATCTGGAAGGCCAAGGGCTCAAAACCATGTACGTTATGTCCTTTTATGTAGTATAATAATCCTTATCTTGAAAACCTTTATGTTCTAGTCTGGATGTCTTTCTGAACACAGATTATATATCTCATTAAAGAACACATGTATATCTACCTGTCATTATACCCCCTTTATTTTAAAAAGGAGAAAAGCAGCAATTTCCTTTAGATTCTGGACTGTAGGGACCATGTTATACTCATCATTTAATTTCTAGCATCGAGTAGTAAGTAGAATGCAGTAAAAAAAGATTTTTGCATTAAAAAAAATTATATTTCTATTCTTTAACTCAAGGTAATCACAGAAGTTATCACACCTACACTCTTCCCAGTATATGGATGTACTAGGGAGGAAGATTCCACAGGAGAGGTAAAATCTCTCCCCTATGCTTCATTATAGAAAGAAAAACAGAACGCTCTCTTCCTAACAGAACGGACCACTGTCTCAGCATGTGGGATGGAGATAGTGAGGGAATGATTACCTACCATCAGATCAACAATCAGTATACACTGAAATTACAACGACTGTGAGACTGACCTAAGTATGAATATACAACTTTTGAGCTTCCACTGCCTTTGGAGGGATCACCACCAGGATGCAGTCTAAAGGAAACTGTAGCGGTTTTAAAACATTTACAACATAATTCTGATGTACATGAACATTTGAGATTGTGAAGTTAAATGTAATACAGCTGTAAGTACTCAGATTAATATATAAAATTTTAGTAAATACTAAAAAACTTACCTAGATTTATCCAAATTCCACCTGGCTTGAGTATTTTCCATATTGTGTCAATATAATCAATTACATTGTGAGCTGTGTCTATGAAGAAACAGGTAGCAATACAGTCCCAGGTATCTAATGAAGAAAAATCAAATTACTGCATCTGTTATGTTATTTTGCTTTTTTCTTTTAATTATTTAAATTTTCCAGTTACCTTTTACAGAGTATTAATGTTTGACAGAGATACAGAAGCTAAACTTCTGATCAACACTATAGTCACAGTAACCAAACAATCACTTATGAGAAATACTGATATCAATAATCTAATTAAGTAATCAATTTGGAAATCATCCCCAATAACACTGATATTATAATCTAATCTCTACATATTATTACCAAATTATATTTGTAAGAGCTTTGTTTATCCTCTATTCAACTTCTAGCCTTCATTTAAAATCACTTAAAACAAAATAATAGTCATTCAAATTTAAACTAGTGTTAACCACCAATTCTGGCAGGTTTCAGAAGACTGCAGGCACCAGTTGCCAATTGAGAAATGAATGACATTCAAATACCTCAACATCTACCACAACTTCAAATAATTACCAGGGAAAAAGGGGAGCCAGGGGCAGGCAGAAGCAGTGGGTGGGAACCCACCAGAGAACACCATTTGCCACTAGGAGGTATGGTGTCTATACAAATGCTGGTGCAATAAAGTCACTTGATCCCATGGAGGATTACCTTCATCATCTGTTCTCTCAAACCTTGCCCCAGAAAAAGAGGACTTTTACTTGCCTAAGTGATGTTTTCCAATATTTCATTCCTTATCCACAACACCTAACATCTTCCATCTCTCCCTTTCTTCCTTCAGAGTACAGGTTGTCCCAATCTCAGAGTTCAGAGAAAAATAAACAAAAACTTTCTATGTTGTAAAATAAATAAATAAATAAATAAAAACAATCTGTGTTGTTGCTGCCCCTGCTTCAAGCCCTCCAATGGCATCCTGTTTCTCTGAGTACAATTCCAAGTCCTTGCTATGGCCTGCCTGCCAACAAGTTTGCCTCAACAAATCTTCTCAAGGCTGACCTTTCACCACTGTACCCACTGCTTACTACAGCCTAGCTTCTCCTTGAGCAGAGCAAGTACTCTCTATACTCCCTAATCCTCTTCCCTTGCCATTCCCCATCTGCAACATTTTCCCTTCAAATATTTCAGTGGTTTGCCTCTGTACTCTTTCAAGGTTCTCTGCCACACTTTTTTTCTTTTTTAGTTTCTACTCTAAAAGGCTTTCCCTGACAACTCTATATAAAGCAGCAGCCTCTCGCCAGTCACTCTGTAACCCCTCTTCCCTGCCTTATTTTTTCTTCCTTACAATATTAGATTTGTTATTGCCTCACTTTCTCTATTAGAATAGACGTTCTCTGTGGACAGGGACTTTGTTTTGTTCACTGTTCTCTTTTGACACCTAGAACATACCTGGTACTTAGTAGGTGCTCAACAAATACCTATTGACTCAATGATCTTGCTGAACCCTCACTATTCTATTTTGTTTTCCTTTTACTGCCAATCTCCCTCTCCTCTTTCCCAATTATCATCTCCCTTTCTCTCATGCCTAGCTCAGATTTCTTCAACAGTGTGCCAGGTTGAAGTCAACTGCGCAGCCTGACTAAAAGTCCTCCATGATCTGGAACAAATTTACTTTTCTAGCAATAGCTCCCATTAAATCCCATTAAATCTCCCATTAAATATTTTCTTTCCCTGACAGTACAGCTGTGCTGCCATCCCCAATCACCTTATTCATATCTTGGTACTTCTGTCTGCCTCAAATGCTATTTCTCTCAACCTTCAAGTCATAGCCTCACTATGAACAGCTTCCTTCTTACACTAATAACCTTTCATTTTTTTGGTATTCATTACTCATTTAAACTTTGTTTACATGGTGTCTCTTAGTATTAATGGGCCCAATAGGGCCCATATCTAAATTTCTTGACTGTAGATATCTTACACTTCTTATTTCCTATCACTGCCTTGTACATGACCTTGAAAAACATTCTAAATTGACACTGACGTATGCCTTATGTTCTACCGTCAAAATAAATGATCTAAACCTTGGCTTAGGATAAAATTGGCTCATTAAATTTAGAATAAAGGACAAGACTTTTTAAATGCTTGATTTTGACTTACTGCATTCTGAATAAATCTCTTGAAAATCTCCTGCTGTCATAGAAAAGTTAGAACCAGGAGGAAGGCTATGGGGGTCAACATCAGGGAAAAAGATGGGTCGAATCTGATCAGCTGATCTCCGGTTATTGCTAAACTGATGGATCCAAGGATAAAGTTTGTATTTATTAATTTCAGAACATCTGCAAAATATGAGTATAAAATCAGGTGTTAACTAAATATTTTACCAAGAAAATCCACTTTAAATGCTAAAATATACTGTTTAATTGAAGATTTGCATATAAAATTAATATTTAAAGAGTCACTATTACAGCTTCCCTAATTATCTGAAAATGTACATATACATGTAGATGAGCAACCAATTATGGATTAAAGACAGAAAAAAAGTAAATTCAAAGATATAAATCTGCTGTTCATTCAAATTTTTAAAAATGTATTTCTAAACTTCAAAACCAACTATAACAGTCCAACGAGGTTTTTTAAAATGGTACTGGTTTCAACTAAAACAGTTTGCGATCTATTTTTTGTATAACCCTCTTCTTTTTCCCTTTTTCACCAACCCCCTAAAACTCATACTGCCATCCGAGACAACATATTATTTAAACAAGGCAGCTACTCAATGTACATCTTCTGGCTTTAAAAATAACAATTCTTTTCCACTGCCTTCCAAAAGAGGCCACACAAGTTCTGAGAGATCTTTCCAACTCAGTCATGAGAGCATACTTGGCCATTTTATAAGAACCTGATTAAGGAGAAAAAGTTATAATTGCTAAACTAAACTCTTATTTAACTAAAGAAACAAGGAGGTAAAGAAGCTTAAGGAATAAATTTAAAAATACTCCTTCCTGGTTCATACTTAGTCCTGAAGATTTTGTACAGAAATCATTTCATGGAATGCCCAGTCACGTTCTATAAAGTCACTTACCCATCCTGTTTCAACATTCTAATAACTAGGCAATTGGTTCAAGTGATAATTTGTACAAGTACTTTGATTTTAACATAAGAGACATTTGTGATAGATATAATAATCAAATGCTATGTACTTATCTTCAAATTCAAAATTGTTCAAGAAAATAGGTAAGTCAATCTGATTCTGAGAAATTACTATTTCCAGCAAAAAATAAATTAAATACCTGTTGAGTACAAAGTTGGAAGAAAAGAGCATAAAAAAACTCCATTCATTTCCTTGACAAGCATAACCTAGCATAGCTATTTCCCAGGCCAGTCTTCCTAGTCCAGCACCAGGTACCAGAATATTTACTTTAGAAGGATCCCTGAAATGAAATAAGGCAATTATGTCCAACCCCTCAAAGAAAAAAAGAAAAAGACAAAATCCATATTAACAACTAAAAACTTACTCATTTACTCAATAAGAATAAGCTCACTAAAACTGACTTCTCACAATCAAGAAATACTTCTAAATATCAAAAATAAGAGGTATAAGGAATTATTATGTATGTTCCGGTATCAAATGAGGGTTTTAGCCCTCAAAAATTATTTTGCAGAAAAAAGGAGTCCCCTTACATCTGAAGACTTATAAAGTCACTCATATTCCTAACAAGCTGACACCCTGAACAACCATCTTAGAAAAACAAATTATTCCAAGGGATCCCAATTAAACATGAAGAGTTTGAACAAAAGTACTTCATCATACGGGACAATAAATACAACATAACTTTATTTCTGAATTGTATATGTAACCCAATTGTTTATGTTAAACAGATGTAGAGTTTAATGAGTCGGGTGTATCTCTAAATCCTTATATGTTTTAGTTGACAAGAATGTGAGGGAGGGGATATTTTCATGGGGGAAATGGGAAACGGCCCTCTAATTAAACATACATGATTACAAATATATTACACCAAACCAGAGGTTCACAACCAAATTGATCTCTACCTACTAGCACCACACTGCCATTACATATTTCCTTCACATAAGACCCATCATTCCACTTTCAAACCACTGAAAGCTTTACCAAAACAAGGCTTTTTCTTAGGAATTTTGGCAAATCAATATAATCCCGAGGAAACTAAAATTGTAGTCTTATAAGAAGCCAAAGGAAAATGTATACAATCAGCTAATATCACGTCAAGTAAAAAGAAACTTCACTACTGTATTTCCTAAATTTGGTTCACAAATCAAATCCAATTTCCAAATCTACTCCTAGTAATTATTTTTTATCTTTAACTACATGGCCTTTAAGTTTGGCATGCTCCAAGCAGCAACAGGGCACTTTACTAGCAGCCCATATAACCTTTGCATGTCACACTTCAAAATAAAAAAGAAAGAACACTATGGGGCTTTTGAAAACTCATAGCTCTAGGACTCTGGTGCTATTCCTTATATAAGGGACCTGCCATGATGGTCTGCTACTCAGACCTAATGCTCTCTCACTTCTCACTCCCTACCAGGCCCACCAAAACCCCTACTCTGCAGAATTACCTTTCTTTTCTCAGTTCCCATCTGCCCAATCATAACATGCATTTCCAGCCCTACCCCAGCAAGTGGCTGTTCTCAGCTTAGAATTTTTTTTTTTTTTAATTATCTGATCAAAGTCATGCAACAGAAAGCAAAAGGATTTGGAAGTAAATTCATATAGTATTTAAATATTTACATAAAAATAACCAGCAATCAATTTCCAAATGGCTGATGACTCCAGTAAAATATTACCACACAGAAGTTAGAAATTATGCTACCCTGAAGGGAAAGCTGTGCCAATAATGTTAACAACAATTATTTTGCTAACTTATGGAAAGTTAACTTAATGACTGATTTTACCAAATTATCCTTAACTAAACAGAACCACAGAACTCTCTACCTCAACCTAATGGCAGAAAATATATTAACAGTACCTTGTATTAAAACTGCTATTGAAAGGCTATCATCAAGTCACAGAATGCAGAATATATCAAAGTCCTATCTTAAGAGTTAACAGACACTAATATAGATCTAAATTACTGGCATTATGACAAAGAGGAAGTGGACATGTAAGAAATGCATTAAAACAAACCCTCTAGAACTGAAAAAATGATCAAGAACTATGCAATGAATGGGTAAGATGGAGAAAATTTTTCCCTAAATCTTTGTTCTTAGCTAGATTTTCTTCATTTGGTCTTTACACAAGGGATATTAACAGCATAATAAAAAGTTCCTCTAACTATGATGTGTATGAAACTAAGGCACTCTAAGTGGGAATTTCTGCTATGAATCCGCATAAAGTCTAGGGCATTTCTATGAGGTCATTTCTGTGGAGAACAAGAAATATAAATCTAATACAGACCTTAATGGTGAGACAACCTTAAACCAGGCTGAACTGTTTTTTAAGCAGGAATAGAGAGGCATACAATATGTGGCTCAGTAATCAAATGGTGCCTACTTGAGATTCTTAGCGAAAATAAGCCAACAAGTTTACCTAGTTAATAAGGTACAAATACGGAGAAGCAGTACATTTACTACAAATGTGATCTCCTATAACAGGAGGAAAAGTTTCAACAGTTTAAGACAAACGGGAATGGAGAAGAAAGGATACATCTGTAAGGACATGGAGCCCATGTGTCTAAAGAGGCCACAGATCACATTTCCATCACCCTCTCTGCTCCAGCTTTTTCACCAGCAGTAAATATTGCTCTTGACAGAGGTTTCCTTTGTTGCACACAGAACAATCTTTGCACTGCAGTTGTAAATTTTAAAATTCCAACACAAAATGCTGTCTTGTTGGGTCAATATTATGACACTTGGCTGACCCCTAGTGGTAGAAGTAAATACAACTTTTAAGTACCTACAGTGGTTCTCTTTGAATCACAGTAGAATACTGTCAAACAGTACAGTACAGTAAAAGCCACTAACTACATGTGGCTACTGAACACTTAAAATGTGGCTAGTGCAAATTGAGACGTGCTGTAAGTGTAAAATAAACACCAAATTTAAAGACAGTATAAAAAGTAATGAAAAACATCTCATTAATAATTACATCAAAATTTTTAAAATAAAAACAAAATTACTTCTTTTAAAAAATATGGCTGCCCTGAGCACACTGCCTGTGGCGTAGCCCTGCTCTGCTGAAGCAGTCAAAAAAATTTTTTTTAAATATGAAAAAAAGATCTAAAGCAAATATGGCAAAATGTCAAGGTTTAACAGAGCTAGTATTGAAGTTCGTTTTTTTTTTTTTTTTTTTTTTTTAAATTGGAGACAGTCTTGCTCTGTTGCCCAGGCTGGAGTGCAATAGTGCCATCTCGGGTCACTACAACCTCTGCCTCCCAGGCTCAGAAGATCCTCCTGCCTCAGCCTCCCAAGTGGCTGGGACTACAGGTGTGTGCCACCATGCTCAGCTAATTTTTATATTTTTTGAGAGATGGGGTTTTGCCGTGTTGCCCAGGCTGGTCTTGAACTCCTGAGGGGCTCAAGCAACCTACCCACCATGGCCTCCCAAAGTGCTGGGATTACAGGCGTAAGCCACCACACCCAGCCAAAATTTTTTTTATTCATCATAGAAAATGGACTATAAATCAAGAGTGTTTAACACCTCCTAACTTACCTCTTCATCAACTCCCAACAAAGAACTCTTTATTTCAGTCAGATAACTTCTCACTGATCCCCGAAAAGACTTCCTCATGTTAATCTTTAGAGGTTTTACCCACAGAAACTCAAATTATTACCTTATCATTATAAATGATCACTTCATCTATATTTCCTAAATATCCCAGGCAAACTTCCCTGAACTCTCTTCTCTATGCTTTCAACAATTCATTCATACTTCTATTATAGTTTACATATCAAGGTTTTTCACTTTGCATCATTCACTTAACACGTACCACAACTATGGCTTGCAGGCGAGTCACCTGTCACTGTAAATGAAGTTTTACTGAAACACAGCCATACTCACTCATCTAAGAATTGTTTATTGCTACATTCCTACAACAAGGCGCTAAGCAGTCTCAACAGAACACATTGCCAGCAAAGCCTAAAACATTTACTGTCTGGCACTTCAAGAAAACATCTGCCAACCCCTGATCTAATACAATACCCCAAATCTCTTTCATAGCAGTACACAGAGCTTCCTTAACTCACTGCATGACTGTAACATAATTTATCAAAATCTCCTAATTAAGGACATTTACATTGTTTCCAATCTTTCATTATCATAATGTTAAAACTAATACCCTTAGAATGAATAACTCCTTTTTATTTTGAAAAATTGTACTTCCCACACTACACTAATGTAGTGGCATGAATAACTTTCACAGGCAGAAATATATGTGTAGAACAACTCCTTAAATTGAACTTCAAGAATCAAGATATGCATTTGTTTTTTGTTTTGTTTTGTTATGAGACAAAGTCTCGCTCTGTCACCCAGGCTAGAGTGCAGTGGCACAATCTTGACTCACTGCAACCTCCGCCTCCAGGGTTAAGGTGATTCTCCTGCCTCAGCCTCCTGAATAGCTGGGACTACAGGCCCATGCCACCACACCCAGCTAATTTTTTTATATTATTAGTAGAGACAGGTTTTGCATGTTAGCGAGGCTGGTCTTGAACTCCTGACCTCAGGTGATCCACCTACTCCAGCTTTCCAAAGTGTTGGGATTACAGGCGTGAGCCATGGCACCTGGCCAAGATTTGCATTTGAATTTGGACAAATAAGCCAAATTGTTCTATGTAATTTTTTGCTAATTTATTCTTCCACCAGCAACGTATTTATGCTTCCTCACACCTTCACTAATAGTTATCTAACTTTTAAACCTTTGCAGTAAGTAAAAATTGGCATCTTAAGGTGGTTTTTACATTTGCATTTCTTTATGAGATTGAGTGTCCTGTATACCTTTTTCTGTGATTTATTTACAGCATTTGTCTACTGGGTTATGAATGCTGAGTGGTTTTCTACTGTGTTATTCCTCTATATCTGTAAGCACTTGAAATCTTGACATGAAAGAAATATGAAACACATACTTGTCTTTGGTCTAGGAGGGCTTTCAGGATGAGGGAGAGATCTATCTTTAGTCTCCAAACTACCACCTGCACTATTTGGCAGTCTACATTTCCTCCAATTTCCTCCATTTTCTTTTTAAAATGAGTTCTCCCAGCTAAAATAATCTTTTCATGAACTATAATTTACATTATTTATTTTATCTTAAGTGGGAAAAAATGCTGCTTTAGAGCTCAGAGTATTTTTTTCCTAATGCTCAACTATATAAAAGAAAAAATGAATTCAACCAGTCAGTAGTGCATCAGTATCTTTTTGGAGTGTTTGTGTATATATATTAAAATGCAAAGAAATAAC